CCTGCAGTTAAAAAAGGCCACGTGACTAGAGTGCCGACTAGTGGAAAGTCAGAAGCGTTTTTTTCATCATATAATGGAAGGACTTTAGGTCCTTGAGTAACTGTCCCAAGGCCTCTCCTCCTTTTCCAACTGCCTGCAGTGAAGTATGCCGTGAACAAAAAAATGAAACTTACTGAGATTTAAGGTTATATGTTACATCTGTAGGTTATTATTAATACTTCCTTGGCTTCCATTATACTATGCTCTTGCCTGAATCTCCTTTTATTCCTCTTTCCCTCATTTCTTAATTTCTTGGACTTCTCCATTTCTATTTGTTCCTTAAATTTTTTAAAAAATTATTTGAGGGGCTGGCACTGCAGTGTAGTAGGTTAAGCCTCTGCCTGCAGCACCGGCATCCCGTATGGGCGCCGGTTCATGTCCTGTCTGCTCCTCTTCCAATCCAGCTCTCTGCTATGGCTTGAGAAATCAGTAGAAGATAGCTCAAGTGCTTGGGCCCCTGCACCCAAGTGGGAGACCCAGAAGAAGCTCCTGGCTTCTGACTTTAGATTGTCCAAGTTCTGGCCGTTGTAGCCATTTGGAAAGTGAACCAGTAGATGGAAGACCTCTCTTTCTATTTCTCCCTCTCTCTGTTAACTCTGCCTCTCAAATAAATAAATAAATCTTAATTTTTTTTATTTGAGAGGTAGAGTTATAGAGTGAGAAGGACAGACAGACAGATATCTTCCATCTGTGGGTTCACGCCCCATATGGCCATAACGCCAGCAGTGGGCCAGGCCAATGCCAGGAATCTGGAGCTTCTTCCAGGTCTCCCACATGAGCTCAGGGGCCCAAGTACTTGGGCCATATTCCGCGCCTTTCCCAGGCCATTAGCAGGGAGCTGGATCCAAAGTGGAGCAGCTGGGACTAGAACTGTTGTCCATATGTGATGCCTGTACTGCAGGTGGTGGCTTAACCTGCTATGCCACAACACTAGTTCCCTTAAAATTTTTTTTTTTTTTTATCTAAGGTTCCATGGCCCACAGTTTTCTTTGTCTACATGTTTCCATTAACAAACTCCATATACTCTCACAGTTTAATCTACTTACGAAATGATGATGAGTAGAATAGTAAATGTGTTGCTAGTTAGTTGTAATTTTTTTTTCACTAAACATGTATCAATATTTATGAGGCTTTAACTAGGATTTTTTAAAAAGATTTATTTATTTATTTGAAAGACAGAGTTACAGAGAGGCAGAGAGAGATAGAGATAGAGATAGAGATAGAGATAGAGATAGAGATAGAGGGAGAGAGAGAGAGAGAGAGAGAGAGAGAGAAAGAGAGAAAGTCTTGCATCCGTTGGTTCACTCCGCAGATGGCTGCAATGGCCAGAGCTGCTCCAATCTGAAGCCAGGAGCCAGGAGTTTCCTCCGGGTCTCCCACATGGGTGTAGGGGTCCAAGCACTTAGCCATCTTCCACTGCCGTCCCAGGCCATAGCAGAGAGCTGGGTTGGAAGTGGAGCAGCAGGGACCCGAACCAGCACCTATATGGGATGCCGGCACTGCAGGCGGTGGCCTTACTTGCTACACTTTAGCGCCAACCCTTTAACTATGGTTTTTAAATTTTTATTTATTTCCTCATCTCCCCCCATTCCCTGATAAATTGAGAATTGCCTATATCTTTTTTCCAGTTTTTTCATTGAACTGTAAAAGTTCCTCATTTATTCAACACTATTAATTGTCTGCAGGGAACTGTGTTATCTGTGCAAGGAAGAAAGATAATCAGTGACTGCTGGTTGAATTGAATGTAATTTATTGCATACCTGTTCTATGTAAGGCTCTGTGCTGGGTCAGAGGAGGACAAAAATAAATATAAACCTTGCTTTCTGTGTACATCTTCATCTCTGTCTACTCCAAGCATCTTCCCTATTCCCACCCCAGTGAACAAACATAATGAACTCTTTGCAATTCCATAACAGTGACTTCCCTTTCAGTTTTGGCACTCAGAGGTGGGTCCAGAACTACTGAAGTCCTAAGCAAAACCCAACACTTGTTTCGACTTTATTCCAAAGATAGATTGATATTTCATTTTTTCTTTTTGCCTAGAATTCAGAAGTGTTGGAATGGAGGAGAATTATCTGTTTTTATCTAACAATGAGTTGCATTCTCATTTTGAGTAAGTCATTTGAGACCAGTGCTTACTTTATATCTTTTATTGAGTAATTCCACTCACTGGAATAATGAATTAATAAACTATGCTAATATTGTCAGATTCCAACATTTTATCAGTAGCCAGGTCTTGCTTTTCCTTCCTCCCTCCTCTTTCCCTTCCTTCTTATCTCCTTCCCTCCCTCTCGCCCTCCCTCCCTCCATCATTCCTTCCCTCCCTTCCTTCCTGTTCTAGGTTTTCACCAGGTATATGTATCAGAGCATGATTTTATTCAGAGCATCATTTTACTCAATGAGTAGATGTGCTCCCAGGATCAAACTGTTTCCTGCATATTGATTTTCATTCTCAATAGCAATTTCCTTTTAAATTCTTTAAATATCGGCATTGAATTATGTATTGGTCCTTGGATTTTTCCAACTGCCTTTATTATTTTTTATATTGCATTACTTTATTCAAGTTTTCTGTTCTTATATTTTCTTCCACTCAGAGAGTTTTGAAATCTACTTTGCTTATAAACAGTTTCATCGACTATTACTACTTCTACTTTTAGAATTGCTGCTACAGGGGCAGACATTTAGCCTAGCTGTTAAGACACTGGCATCTCATGTCAGAGTACCTGCGTTCACTTATCAAGCTCTAGCTCCTGACACCAGCTTCCTGCTAAAGCAGATTCTGGGAGGTAGCAGTGATGGCTCAAGTGATTGGGTTCCTATCACCCCTGTGATTGAGTTTGTGGCTCCTGGCTTAGGTCCCTCCTTCCCCCAACTTGGACATTTGGCCAGTGAACCAATCATTGGGAGCTTCCTCTCTCTGTCTCCATCTCTCTGCCTCTCAAATAAATTTTTTAAAAATGATGCTATTACTTCTACCACTACCACTTCTATAGTAGTATAGTTCAGTTGCCAAGTTCTAGCACTAACAGATGCTTCATTAGAGACAAGTTACTGATCACGCTGAGTTCTAAATGGTTCTATTTGCTTGGAGTGTGATCCGTCAGTGGTGAACATTCACAACACTTTTGTTGTTGGTCTTGGTAACTGCTTTTGTTGTAATAGAATTTCCATAGTACATGCTATTTTTTAGCGAGATTGAGAGACAGAGAGAGAGAGAGAAAATCTTCCATCTATCTTCCATCTGCCGGTTCACTCCCCACAACAGTCAGGGCTGGGCCAGGTGGAAGCCAGGAGCCAGGAACTCCATTCTGGCTTTCCACATGTGTAGCAGGGGCCTGAGCACTTAAGCCATCATCTGCTGCCTGGCAGGATCATTATCAGGAAGCTGGATCATTAGTGGGGCAGCTGGGACTCAGACAGGGGATGTAGGCATTGCAAGCGGCTGCTTAACCTGCTGTGCTGTAACAATGCCCTGCATAATGTTTTTGTTTGTTGTAAGTTCAATAAGCTGAGAATGTCCAGTTTTAATGGCTTCTGCAAATGGAATGATCCAAAGGGCATCCCCATCCATTGGCTGAACATATATACACAGTTTTCTGTTAGCAAAGAAGGAACATTTGCATTTTGACAAAGTCCAAAGAGCTATGTGACTTTGAGGAAGTTACCCAATCTCTCTTTGCCTCATTAGATGTAACAAAATTGAACAAATGAGAAAAGTGCTTGATACATAGCCAGTATTCCAGAGTATTAGCCATATAATGAACTAATAAGCAGTTAGTGTATTTAGTCAGGTATCTGTTGTTTACACTTATGCTTGCTGCCAATCAAGGTACCATCCTATAAGAGACTATTTCTCATTCTTACTAAATAAATACAATTATGGTGTATTCCTCTGAATGCCAATAGCATCTTGAGGGTTTGGAGGAGCACAGTTTATGATAGTTTTTGATACTTTTTGATTTTTCCACTTTTAAGTGAGGAAACAGAGGTTCGGAAAAGCCAGAGTTTCTTGTGACAGGACTAGTAGATTGAGTTAATCTTAAACACCTTACCAACTTCTTGTTTCAACTTCTTTGTTCAGTTCAAAAGCAAAGGGAATAGTCCCTAATCAGTGTTTCTTGGCCAGAATCCTGTGGCGAACGCTAGTTAAAAGGAAGCGTTCCAGAACCCCTTGGGACCTACTGATTCTTCGAAGGGTTAACTAGCAATCAGGTGCTTCCTACATAACTTTGGGAAAACTTTCTCTAATGCAGGGAGAAAGTATCCTCCTAGAGACAAGCTAGTTCCCACCAGGGCATCTTTTAGGGTAGGCTGGCCTGGTAATTCAGATGCCCCACTTGAGGCTTTGCCCGGCCCTCAAGCATCTAACAGTTGGTTCCTTAAGATCCTAAAAACCTCTCTGCTATTCTCCACAGCTGTGACTGGTAAACCCTGCGTTCCGTAGCTGTTTTCCTCAACAGGAGGAAAATGCAAAGGATTCTGGCACGCTCGTGATCGTGGAAATCAAACATGGGCCTGTTCCACCTTAAAGGGCCTAGGCATGCTTGGTGTTTGGGTCTCACAGAGTTTGGGCACCACCATATTTGGAGCGTGCCTACTTTGGGGCGGGAACCTCCCTGGGAGTGATTAGGTCAGCGCTGGGGGAGGTGACCTTGTTTGGTTTCTGGCACCCGAGAACAGTGGTGCAGTGTTTCTGCTGCCCCCGTTTGCCTAATTGGCCCAGACGCTCCACCAGCGCCAAGCTGCCCAGGAGCTCCTCGCTGGCCACCCCCGCGGCCCGCGGCCCGGCAGAGGCGGGAAAGCAGCGCGCCTGCGCCGTGGGAACCGGGGCCGGAGGCGAAAAGCGGGGAGCGGAGGGGGGCCGCTGGAGCCGAGTAGCGTACAGAGCGGCGTGTGACGCGGGGACGCCGCGCGCTCCCAACGTCGCCCCGGTTTGACGCACACGGCACCAAACTGTGAGTTTCAGGGGTTATTTGGTCGGGTTAGCTGGGGCCCGAGTGGGTTTCGGGCCTCTGGGCTGTGGCGGCGGCGAGACTGAGGGTGGCGGAAGAACTTGGGGGACCCGGCCTCCGGCGCTCGGGCCCGGGGAGCTACGCCCTAGGCTGGGTCCCAACCATCGAAAAGGACGCATTTTGCCGCACAGGCTAAGATGGCGGCGGCGGCCGAGGAGGCGGAGTTGGTGCTACACAAGGAGCCCGGGCCCTGGGTTCGGGGAGGCGGCGGCCGCGGCGGCCGCGGGGGGCCGCGGAGCCTGAGGTGAGCGGCGGCCGCCGCCGCGGGGCGGGACTCGACGGGAGGCGGGGGTGGGGGGGCTTTTCCGCCGCGGCGTCGGAGGATCCGGTAGCGGACACAAAGGGGCTGAGCTGGGCGCTAGACTTGGGGGTTTTGTTTAGTCACATGAAGCCGAGCAGCCAGTGAGCGGTAGGGGGAAGGGGCCGAGATCAGGCGGCTTGGGGAGCCTGGCGGTCGCCATTGCAATGCACTGGGTAACGGGGCGGTCCCAGAGCAGTCACCAGCCCCTCTCTTCCAGGCTGCTCGGTCCTGGCCAGAAGCGCCGGCTCTGGCAGTACTGTACACACCCCTCCCCTGATTTGGGACTGGACCCCATAGCCCTCCCCTCCCCCCCTCCCCGTTCTGCAAGATCTCGTGCCGCTAGGTGCCCGGGAAGTAACAGCAAGAGGTAAATCGTTCGAAGTGTTGGGTTGCCAGGGGCTTGGTGGGTGTCCAGCTAAAGCTTTTTGCCTCTCCAGGTCTGATTCCCTGGCCTTTGTGTCCCTGGGAGCTTACTCTCTGCCAGAGGAGAGCAGGTGTGCTCCACTCCTCCCGTGAACCTGAAGATGAGTTGCCCCCGACCCTTCTCAGTGATTGGAGACTTAGGTGGTGGAGCTAAAGGTTTCTTGTTACCAGACTTCCGCAGACGACTCTCGTGTTGGGATCCATCCATGGTTTAGCAACATAGGTGGAAAAGTTTTTCTCGAACTGTTGAAGTAATTTTTACGTAAATAGAGTTGTTACAAAACTTTTCTGTTTAGACTTGAGATTTTGTATGATCATTTTGCTCAACCCGGGGATCAACACGGTTAGAGGCTTGAAATGATGGTCCTGTGTTGTATACAAGTTGATAATTTCAACGGAAATACCAAAACACCATCCGCCTGTTTGGGCCAGTCCTGACTAAGGCCAAGCCTTTTGCATCTGGATGATAGATTAGATTTGCCTTAATCGTGAATTCCCTCCCTGCAGTAAGTTTACTGTACTTACATTCTTTTGGTCCCACAAGAAGAAAGCATTTCAAAAAATAGACAAGTTCCACAAGGAAAGGAAGCCTGCTATTTTACCTTCAGTGCCATGTGTAAGTATCCAGGGAACTTGATGGCAGCAACCATGTAGGCTGGGTAAGAAAAACTAGTTTTATATTGAGGTTATAAGTTAGCTAACGAATCATTTTAATGGGTGAAACATGAAGATTTGACTAGTATTAATGCAGTGGTAGGTATACCTGCCACTGGTAAAATCGAGGTGATTTGAGTTCTTGGATTTCTAGCAATTTAAAGTTATACCGCACTAATGTCGTAATATTGGTATTGACTGATAGCAAAGCACAAAATTTTGAAACAGCTAATGTTTTCTTTTTGCCATTAACAACAAAATTACTTGAAGGGATATTTAAACACATTGGGAGCACTAACTTTGTTTGGATCTCTGTTCAAATTGAAATTTGAACTTTTCACCATTACTTAAAAGTCATTTTCCTTGTTTATTTTTTTAGATATATAGCTTCTCTTTTTAAGTTAGTTTTTCCCAATAGAGCACTATCTTCTTTTAGTAAATGGGAGATGCATTAATATTAGCAGTGTATTCCTTGATCAGTTTTACAGTGGACGAAATCTCAAAGAGCAACTGCCCTTACCTGCCTTTCATTAATAATCAATTATTACTAGTGATTATTATTAGTGGCATAATAGAAAATTTTCTTTCAGCTTCTGCCTCATTGCTGTTTTCACTTGTCATACTGCAACCACTTAACCAATAATGGCTAAAAAATGAAACAAAGGAGTGTTGCTGAGAATCCTTGTTAATTAAATACAATTACATTAGCAAGAACTCCTGTGACAGTAAGTTAACTGTTTAATGCTAGTGTGTGTGACCTAATTTTTAAAGTGATTTACAGTGAAACAAATTCAGATGCGAAATATAGAAATTTCAGAGCATTGTCGTTTTTGAATTTTGAAATTTTCCAAAAGCTTTCTTGGCCCAGACGTTTTAAAAATTCAAAAACAACAGCAACCAGGTATTGGATAAACTGCTTGGAAGTTTGAAATAACTGCCTTGATGGCTTGTTGAGTTGCATGAGAAGTGAGATAAATGCTGCAAACAATGGTGCAAGTGCCTTTCGTTTTGCAGTGCTGTTTTGGTTAGGTAAACGAACACACCACTCAGGTGGCTCCTGTTTAAAACAGCTGTCTAAGATTTAGTACTCCTACTGAGTGGTAGATCTGTAATGTCCCTTAGACATGCAACAAGCAGGAAGGTCATGAATGGTGGTGTCCTACAGTGATGTTCAACTTCTTTGGATATAAGATTTAGCAAAAATGGCTACATTGTTTCAAGGTTGTAACGCTTTCATGGGTCAATTAAAGGTGCTTTTACCTTATTGACTTTTCTAAAGAGTTGAGAAACTCATAATTCTTAACACTTTGTGAGTGGATTGAATTACTTTGGTTTTGTGTTAACTAGGGTTACTCTCAGATTATTTGTAATGATAAAATCTGTCTCCTATAGAGCTAAACATTTTCCAGACTTAATTCGTCATTCAGGTTACAAGAGGGAGAGATTTGGTTGCATTGAGACTGGTAATAGGTAAAAGGAGGGGAAAAGAAAGTCTCAAGGAGAGTCACAAGATGATGGAGGGTATCTCCAATTTATAGAAAGTTCAGATTTACTTTCATCCCCAAAACACTGTCAGTGTTTAGAATTATTTGCTAAAGAATGTGATGCTGGAAGGAAAAGAGTGTATCTTATTCTTGGGAGAATGTTTTTCTCGGGACTGCTTTTCAGTCAGATCTTCAGGCAGTTTGCAGGAAATGCAGAAATTGGTATGTTGAATTAACCAGCCCTAATCTTGAACACTAATTTTAGAAATCTTTTTTTTTTTTAAGTTAACAAATATTTTTAAAGTTGTAGTCTTCTGAAATAAAACAAAAATAAGGATGGGTGCTGTAATACTTTGGATAGATACTCAAAAGATTTGGTGTTTTCATTAATTTCTTTGCTTTAGAAAAGACATCTGTTTTGTACATGGAGAATCTATAAATGTTGAATATTATTAGTTTGTAGCATTAACTGGAACAGTGCTAGAAGTGAGGTATTGAATTCAGGTTTATTTAGAGGGAAATAGCTGCTCTTAATATTGCAAGCCATTTACACCTATGAGTTTTCAGAGAATTGAGTTATGGAACTGAATCTAGCACTAGCTCACCCTGCTGGTTGGCCAAAGTATTTCTCCTCTTCCTTCTCAAAAGAAATAGGACAGGAGACCCAGAGAAAGGTAGAGTCCCCTTGGAAAAGATGTTCCCCTCCCCAAGGCCTTGGTTGCTCCGCTGTTTGTTTCTCAGTTGTTGCCTAAGTTGAATTGTGGAGGTACTATCCTTCTTGAAGTTAACTGAGAACTCCTATGTGAGTAATGGAGAGTTGGTATGCTTCCCTACTCTTAAGTCCAAGGTAAACCCTTTGTCAATCAGAGATTATCAAGAACAAAAAGTCCTGTAGGATAACTTTCGAGGAGGAGAAACATGAGAATTTTCAAGAAGAAGAGGAGGGTCCTGCCAAAGCAGAAGCAGCAGCATTTCATGCTTTTCTTGCATGGGGGAAAGTGAGACTGAACTGAGGCTAACTTTTTGAAGAGATTTCCTTTTTATTATCCCTTCCTGCTTCTGCTGTCTGCAAGCTGTAGCCTTACTATTTCACTTGGGATTCTTTGAAAGTATGCTCCTTGAGACTTGTAGCATTGAAGTTGATTAAAGATTATTTGTACAGATTTTATAAACATAAATGTTTATATTTCATGAGCCACACAGTTGATTGTAATTAAAAATGTCCAATGAAGTGTTAGGATTAAAGTATTTTACATATTAATAATCTAATATTTTAAAATGATTAATCTTTTAATCCTTTTGTCTATAGTGTTTATTATTTACTTGCTTTTATCAGCTTCTTGAGGAAGATGTTAAATATAACTAGTACTTCAGATCATCATTTTTAGTGACAGTGATTCACACCTTTCTGTTGACTGGTGTGTGCCAATGGATAAAATGTGTGGCAAAATTGAAATTAATTGCCTTTTGCTTACTACCGACTTAATATTTTACACACGCACACACACACACTCACAATATGTATCAGGGAACTTCAAAAAGTTTATAGAAAAATGTTTATTTGTGCAAAAAATTTTGAAACCCATGCATACTTGTATACACATACACACATACAGAATCACATTTGCATTTGTAATTATGTGTGTGTTAAGAAGCAAGACGGGGTGATGTTTAAAGTGTAGGCCTTAAAGCAAAATTAGTAGAGTTCAATTTTAGCCGCGTGATCACTAGGTAAATAGGTTGATGGTAATACCATCTTCATAGAGGTGTAAGGTTTATGTTATGTAATTCATATAAAGATCTTAGCATTCACTGTGTGCCAGAAAGCTAAGAAATTGACAGCTTTTAGAATAATAATAGTTACTATTATTGTTTAACAATAATTTTGACAGTAATTTGAAATTTTTATAATTTAGAATTGTATACTTCCACTAAGGTACCTTTTAAAGCCATATATATAAAGACAGTGTTATAAAGAAAGTGAGAGACAGGCATCAAAATGTGCCTTCTCCGGTTCTATTAGCAAAACCTGAAACCAGGTTACATTTTAGAAATGTGTTCCCTTTCTTGCTGTGCTTATGAACTGATGCAGTTGGGAGTGAGTGCATTTTAGTGAGGTTACTTTCCAGCCAATGTGTGCTTTTTGTCTTTGTTACTTCTTCATTTTCTTTACTCCTTTAATAAACTTCTGACCCTAATGGTGACCTTAAGTAGAGGTAAAGCGGTGAGTGGCTGAGTATATTTGTATGTAATATGCATTTGAACTGTAGATGCGAGTGAGGAGTGGTTGGCACAGTAGCTAGATGGAAGAGGGGAATGTGATCTTTTCATTGCTTAGTGAGGGCATTTCCCCCAAACATTTCCCTCTGTTTTCCTCTCCACACTTTGTTTTGTATATGTGTATGCTAATTTAGTGTTAAAGTTACCATTTCCTCTTTCTACCACCTACTTCACCCACGAGAAACACACATTTTAAGCTTTATAACAAAGTTGTAGAGGGCAGCTTGTTCTTCAATTTGTGAGATTTTTCTCTGGATTTTAAACTTTACATTATAAAAGCATTTTTTGCCTACCCCTTTTCAAGTGATATCTTACTTCCCACATTGTTTATTCATACATATAAAGACTCTTTGTCTTGGCTCCTGCACAATGATGTTAGCCAAAATGGAGGCTGTTCTTTTCTTTACTGAGTGTCTGAAATGAAAAAAAATCAAGCTTAATCAGAATTAATACTCTGGGATTAGGATTACTCAGGTTTAATCATGCTGTCTATCCTTTCTGCTGGGACATTTAACTCCAGATTGCATATAAACAAAATGTAGACAATTTAGACCCTTCTGAAAACAACTTACGTTTTTACATTTTGAAAATACAGCAATATTAATTGGACACTTAAATGCTATTTAGTTACTATCATTGATTTCTAATAATGTTTAATTTGTAAAAGACTAGCTTAAGGGGCCGGCGCCGTTGCTCACTTGGTTAATCCTCTACCTGCATCCCATATAGGCGCCGGGTTCTAGTCCCTGTTGCTCCTCTTCCAGTCCAGCTCTCTGCTGTGGCCTGGGAGGGCAGTGGAGGATGGCCCAGGTCCTCGGCCCCTGCACCCACATGGGAGACCAGGAGGAAGCGCCTGGCTCCTGGCTTCGGATCCGCGCAGTGCTGGCCGAGGCAGCCATTTTGGGGAGTGAATCAACAGAAGAAAGACCTTTCTTTCTATCTCTCTCTCACTTTCTATAACTCTACTGTCAAATAAAGACTAGTTTAATATTGAACTCTTATACTCATTGGGAGGATGACATGTGTATATATATACACACACATATATATATACATTTTTAATATTTATTTATTTGAAAGTCAGAGTTACATAGAGATGTTCACTCCTCAGATGACTGCAATGGTCAGCACTGGATCAGGCCGAAGCCAAGAGCTTCATCTGTTACCATGTGGGTGGAAGGGGCCCAAAGACTTGGGCCATCTTCTGCTGCTTTTCCCAGGCCATCAGGGAACTGAATCAGAAGTGGAGCAGCCAGGACACTAACTGGCACCCATAAGGGATGCTGGCACTGCAGGCAGCAGCTTAACCCACTGTGCCAGCTCCCAAGATGACATATATTAAAAGATAATTTGTGGGACATAGTGACTAGTTAGTATTGTATATTTGAAAATTTCTTAGGATATATTTTAGGTGTTGTTACAAAAAAGTATGAGGCAGTGTCTATGTTAATCATCTTGATTTAATTGTTCTACAATGTATGCATATTTCAAAATATGTATACCATAGATGTACATAGTTTTTATTTGTCATTTTAATAACTGAGTAAAAGAATAAAAAGGATAATTTGTGGGACATTTATAAATAGACATTATAGGTCAGCACTGACCAAAGAAATATGTTGACCCATAAATGCGATTAAAACTTTTTATAGCCACGTTACAGAAAAGGAAGTGAAATATCATTTAGCCCAGTATGTCCAAAATACTATCATTCCATAATATAAATGATTGTGATATTTTGCATTTTTTTCCTCCAATATTAAATCTTCAAAATACAGTGGTATTGTGTACTTACATTACCTCTCAATTTGGACTAAGCAGACTTTAGGTGCTCAGTAGCTACTAGCCATATGTGGTTACTGTATTGGACAGTGCAGTTACAAATTTTAAGTTCTGTAGGGGTATTTAGAAAGGATACAGCAGAAATTGAACTGAACCTTAAAGAATGGCCAAGAAGAGGA